AAAAGTTATCTGTCATCCCACGACTTAGAAATGCCAGTTCCTTTTTCAGGGTTTCTTTTCTCCTTGTATGAATTGCTGTTAACATAGTTGAGGACACATTGTGTATATCATTTTGTATTTGATGTTTAAGTGCCACACGTGGATCCAAAGCTGCTAGAGGAGAATCTTAGTGACATTGGCCCGGAGAATGGGCATGACCTGCCACTGTCCTATCTGGCAGGAGAGGCAAAGGAGAGCCTTTGTGGCCCACAGTTCCACCAACACGGGCGATCAGCATCCACTGTGCCCAGCCCGGGAAGTTGCCAAGGCCTGCCCTCCACCGCAGAGGAGGCTCATTCTGCACACCAGACATGGTGGACGGGAGCTTCCACAGACACAGCCTGTGTCAGGAGGGCCCCCATCCTCATGTTAGAGCCCACAGAAGCTCCTTGTGTTTGTGCTTCAGGAAGCTGTGACTCTAGACCATTCCTGTGGGTTTCTGTTTTGTTTTATTTATTTATTTATTTTTTATTTTTTCCATCACCTTTTATACCCCATATACCTTCTTCCTCCTCTCCTCTTCCTCCCTCAGTTCTGCAGGTTTTGATGAGTTTCTATATTGTCCCTCTGACATGAACAGATCACATTTCCATCTGATCTTTTTTTCTTTTCGTTTTTTGTTTGTTTTGTTTTGTTTTTTGTTTTGTTTCTGTTAATCCTCACCCGAGGATATTTTTCCATTGATCTTTTAGAGAGAGTGGAAGAGAGAAAGACAGAGAGAAACATCGATGTGAGAGAAACACTGTGATTGGTTGCCTCCTGCATGTGCCCCGACCAAGGCCAGGGCTGGTGAGGAGCCTGCAACCAAGATACATGCCCTTGACTGGAATAGAAGCTGGGACCCGTTGGTCCACAGGGTGATGTTCTATCCACTGAGTCAAACCAGCTAGGGCTCCATCTGATCTTTAAAGGAGTCACCAGTACCTTTGTTAAGTCGCTTGAAGTGATGTCAAGAAAATGTATCATGACGAAGACTGAAATCACTAGAAGGATGGGATTGTGGGAGAATCCTAGTTAAAATACAGCGGTAGCCATCTTCATAATGTGCCATGTGTATACAGATGTGTGTACTTAAATTCCCGAACTTGTGTATTTAAGAATCTAAAACTGAGAACTTGCTTGTGTTACCTTTGCTGACATTTGCTAAGGGATGAGATTCATGGTAATATTAGAGTTTAGAAGTCTGTCACTTGGAGCGAGAGACATCTGTCTTCTGCGATGAACTCTCGGGAAAGAGTAGGCCATGTTCCTGTCAGCGGCGTCCACTCTCAGAGCTGGGTGGAATCACTCCTGGAAGACTTCACACTGTCCAGAGAGGAGTGTTATTCATCCCCTGGGACTCAGGGGCCACCCTCCCATTCTAATACCTCCAGGGAAACTTGTTTTCTTTACTAAGACACTTCATCTCACAGAAAGGGGCCCCTCGGTCAAGGCTGGGGAGCCCTGGGGAATGCCGGGCTTGGTCTAGTGATAAATTAGGGACTTCAGTGTAGGGGCTCTTCCCTCTCTAATTCTCCTTCTATGAGCCTTCCATGAACTCCTGTACTCTCATTTCTTATTACTGTTCCCGAGGAGTCTTCTTCCACCCTCTCCTTTTTTCAGTCTATTCTTTCTTCTAAATGATCTTGCCCACTTCAGGGTTCCAACTACCTATAAAACTGTGGCTCCGGAATGGATATCTCTAGCCCAGCTTTCTCTTGAGTTCCAGATGCACTTATCCACAGACGACTCCACGTTTCTACCTTAAAGTTGTCATGTACACCTCAAGTTCAGCATGTCCTCCAAACTCATTCTTCTTCCTGTGTCTCTTACTCCAGTCAATGGCACCATGAATCTGCCACGCTAGAAACCTAGGAGTCATTACTCCCTCCCTCTATCCTTGTGCTGTTCATTAAATTCTGTATTGGGCCAGGCAGTGTGGTAGGTAACTAATGGTGAGCAAAAAAAGACAAGGTTCCCTGGCCAGGTAGCTCAGTTGGTTAGAGACTCATCCCAATATGCCAAGTTTGTAGGGTTTGATCCCTCGTCAGGGCACATACAAGAATCAACCAATGAATATGTAAATAAGTGGAACAACAAATCTCTCTCTCTCTCTCTCTCTCTCTCTCTCTCTCCCCCCCCCCTCCCCCCCCTCCTTCCTTCCTCTCTCTGTCTCAAATCAATTTTTTAAAAAATTAAAATAAAAAGACAAGTTCCCTGCCTTTATATTTGGGGAAACAGACAAATGATGGTGCAAAAGAAATATGCAAAGCCATGAGTGTTTAGTTTGGGGAAGGGAAATTTAAGAGAAGACCAAAAGAATTCCTTGAGAGTTAACTAGACCAAGGACATGGTGTGGGAGTTCAATTTCTAAACAGGCGGGTCAGAGTGCCCACAGTCCTAAATGAGATGGACTGAGTGAGACTTCAAGAAGCCATTGTGGCTCAAGCCTGATGAATTACAGGAATGACGATGGGAGGGGAGACTGGAGAGGAAGGTTAGAGGCCCTATTGTTCAGCACCTTAAAAGGATTTGGGCCCTTCTTCTGTAAGGACAGGAAAGGCATTGAAGACTTTTTGGGGAGTGGGGTTGAGGAATGACCGATTTATATATGAAAGTCACTCTAGCTGAATGGATTGGATGCGGCCTGAGTGGATGTGGGGAAGGTGATCCCATTGGCTTCCTTCTTGACATCCCTATAGCAGGTACCCCCAGTCCAGACTTTGGCTGTCTCTTGCCTTCTAGCAGAAGTCACCACTACTGTTATCCCTTTTTAATGTACTTTCAGTGTGGCTCTCAGACCTACCTTTCAACTTTTTGCAACAACAAAGAAAATCAGTGATTCTTCATTGTGTTCAAAATAAAGTCCAAACTCTTTGGCTGGCCCACAAGTCACTTCAAGCCTGGCCCCTGTCTCCTTCTCCAGTGTCACATCCAACTACTTGTCCTCAAGTACCCTGGGTCTTAGTCTATAAAAAGGGGATTTGAGAGCTGGATAGCAGTTTGAGGGGAAGGGCCCAAGTCCTCGAGCCAAGGCTGAGGCTGAGCCTGAGGTCCAGTGTGTTGAGCCCGTTGGGAGCACAGGAGACCTCCCCAAGTAGGGGCTTCAGGCAGTTGGCTTCGAGCAACGTGAGGCATGGCCACAAGAGTATCAAGGAATCACTCAGGGCCAAGGCATTGGAGACTCGGACACAAGACCAGAGGGGTAGTTGCTGGGCAGTGGTGACCGAGGACAGGACCCTAAGCCTTGAGAGATGGACACTTTGGAGCAGGACCCAGACCACTGGAGAACTGATGTCCCAGGATGGCCAGGACTCCAGCTCTTAAAGGAAGGGCAGGACTCAGCCCTGGCTGGATGACTCAGCTGGCTGGAGTGACGTCCTGCCCTGTACACTGAAGCGTCCCCGTTTAATTCCCGGTCAGGGCACATACCCAGGTTTCGGGTTTGATCCCTGGTCCGGGTGAATTTGGAGGCAACTGATCGATGTTTCTCTCTCACATCAATTTTTTCTCTCTCTCACTTCCTCTGTCTCTAAAGTAAATAAAAATATATCCTTGGGTGAGGATAAAAAAAGGGGGGGCAGGACTCAGAGACTGGGGGCTCAGAAGGTCAAGGACAAAGACTGACGTGAGGATGACTCTGTCAGGAGAACCATGGGAAAGTTCTTTACATTCTACATATGAAGAGACTAGGAGCCAGAATGAATCCCAGAGTGTAAGGGGCAAGGCTAAGTGTGAGGTCAAGGCTGAGCAGCTAGAATGTAGAGAAAGGAGCCAGGCAGCTCCTTCCATCGCCCACACTGAGATCTTCACAGCTTCAGCCAGTCCTCAGGGCACCCGCACACCAGTCAAGGACATTCAAGTTTAGCTCCATGAACCCCAAGGAGCTGTGAGTGCTTGGGGGACCCATCCCACTTCAAGATGAATGAGATTTCGCCCTTCCGGAAACTTCGGAGCCAATCAGGTAGGAGCACTTCCGGTGTTCCTGCTGGGTTTTGGACCGTCTGCAAGGACTTGGCAAGTGAGCGGCTTGGGACATTTAAAAGCTGATTGGAAGCTCCCAGGAGACAAGTTTGAACATCAAATGAGAAAAAAGGACTGGAGGTGGGGAGACTCTCAGAATTAAGTATAAAAATGTTCACTAAGTTCTCCTATTGTGCTTCCGGTCCTCCAGCACGAAGGCCCCCTGTTTTACCTTCTCTTGAACAACAAAATGGCCTTCAGATTTAGGCTGCGAGGGTGATGGCTAGTGCTGTGAGAATATGTCCTTTTAGTTACCCTCCTTCAACCCTTCTTCCAGGGGCCAGTTTCTGAGTTTTTTTAGGGGTCCTGTGATGTAAATGGGGTTGCTTGTCGACTTTGGTCACTTCTGGTTTAGAATTTAGCTTTTCCAAAGTAATTGGGCCCTTTGCTTTTGATTCAAGAATTTTTATGTTATCTTTCCCTCTATCCTTGAGGTTTTATGACTCTAAAAATATCTATACTGCCCTTGCCTGTTTGGCTCAGTGGATAGAGCATCAGCCTGCAGACTGAAGGGTCCCGGGTTTGATTCCAGTCAAGGGCACATGCCCGGGTTTCGAGCTCGATCCCCAGTAGGGGGCATGCAGGAGGCAGCCGTTCGATGGTTCTCTCTCATCATTGATGTTTCTATCTCTCTCCTCCCTTCCTCTCTGACATCAATAAAAATATATTTAAAAAAAAAAAAGATGAATGAGATTTCAACAATAGTATAGTTCTGAGAGTAGCTTTATAACCCGGAGGAGGGCCTCTGGAGACCATGTCTGTGTACGGTTCTCACGGCAACCAAGCGACTATGACATCCTTAAGGGGTGGTGAGGTCACAGAACACAAGCTTTAAAGTAAGGGAAGCATGTGCGCCTCATTTATTTTTAAAAGAAACTTCTGAGAAGAGCTTAGAACAATTTTTTTCCCCCGAGTGCCATTTCCCAACGGTACTCACAGAACAATAAGGTGTGACTGTAATGGCTGCACTGAGTTGTCTTTTGGACAGTGTTAGAAGGGACATAAAGAAGGTGGACAGAGAACTGAGGCAATTGAGATGCATCGACGAGCTCAGATGCCTGTGCGACTTATATATGCACCCGTACTGCTGTTGTGACTTGCACCCCTACCCGTACTGCCTGTGCTATTCGAAGCGTTCACGATCCTGCGGCCTGTGCGATCTCTACTACCCTTGTTGCCTGTGTGACTTCAAGCTTTACTGTCTCCGACCATCCCTCAGAAGTTTGGAGAGGAAAGCCATTAGAGCCATAGAAGATGAAAAGAGAGAGCTTGCCAAGTAAAGGAGCTTTTTAAGATTTTTATAGTTGGTATCATTAGCCTTATAAGTTAGAGTAAGGGTAAGGGGGGGACGGGACAATCGATACTTGAACAAAGAGGAAGAGGGTTCAGGATAATGCCTCTGGTGGCTTAGCAAAGATTTAAGAAAAGAAGAGGAAAAGGGTCTGTGATGGGGATTAGAAGATTCCCAAAAGACAGTGTAACGATGTCGATTGGCAGGGTGGTTGTTGGTTTATAGCAGGAGTGCCAACATGATAAATAATATGGCTTTAATGAGGGAGAGAAGCAGGAGGTGTCATTAAAAAGCTATTGCAAGCAGTGAACCACACATTTTTTTCTGGTTATGAATAAAGTGATTTGAGTATATTTGGACTTACAGAAATGACTCCAGGAGAAGTCATAATAATTGATCAAATCCTTAAAGTCTGCCAGAGGCTTTAAGAGCAAATTGAACAATAGAGGCATTTTCTGGGTGATGTCGGAAAACCTTTCTCTCATCCCCCAACTTCAGATAAAGACTTACAATTCATCTGGAGTTGGCTTCTATTATGTTGGCCTCTCTCTCCAACTCGAGGAAAGGTCGCGCAAATAAACGACAGAACTGAGAGTCTCCATTTTCAGAACAGAGCTGAAAAGGCTTAGTTAATTGAATTGGGTAATTTTAAAAGTCATTTAAAATGTTTTCTGTTTCATTACATTTTCTTTTTTTGGTCTGGAGAAGCTTTCCTTTTCTTACTTTCCACATCGGCTGTTTGGTCTGTTACAATTATTGAAAAAACTGCTTGGAAGCCCAGTCCCCTGGTGAAATAAATCCTGGTCCATCCATACATTGAAATGATAATGTAGATGTAAAAAGGATTGATGAAGCATTTAAGTATTGTTGTATTCAGTGAAAAGAGCAAGGTACAAAAAAAACTATTTAATATGCTATTTTTTAAGGATGTGCACAAATAGATATTTTTGTTGAACTATACTTGACATATACCATTGTGTAAATTTAAGGTGTACAACATGTTAATATGTTACATTTGCATAATGTAATATGACTGCCATTGTAGCGATAATTACCACCTCTGTCATATAACGTAATTATCATTTCTTTTTAGTGGTTGAAATACTTAAGTTCTAGTCCCTTAGCAAGTTTGATGATGATAATACAACATTCTTGTCTATATTTCTATACTGTGCTAATGTTAGATCACTAGAACTTATTTACTACTCATTGCAAGTTTGTATCTTTAAACAGCATTGTCCCATCCTGATGATTAATTAATAGGGGAGAGAGAGAGAGAGAGAGAGAGAGAGAGAGAGAGAGAGAGAGAAGGGAGAGAGAAGGAGATAGGGAGACAGAGAGTGAGTGGGACCCTTGACTACAAAGAAACATCACCCTTGACAGTGATGTTTCACTGGAAAGGGTAACAAGGCAATTATTGTTCATGTCATCAGTCACCAAAGGTCAAGAACAAACCTGCCTTAATAGTGGAGGATGGGGTTACTGACTATAAACTCATCTACACTCAACCTGAACCACTTTTTATTTTTACTCCTTCGAGTACCAAGTTACAAGAAGTATGCACATTGAACCAGGGGTTCTTTTGTAATACTTGGTCTGTGTCCACTCTCCCTCTCCCTTTGAACACTTGAAGGCCTTGGATTCACGTCCTTTCAGCCCATGTCCCCTGGCTGTCCCTCCTCTCCGGGCGCTCCGGGGGAGGAAGCCTCTGTTCTTTATCCTCTGGGCACCCTCCGCCTCCAGGAGGCCCTACTTCTTGAATTAGACCTCAAGCTTAATTCTCAGCAGAGTGGTTTGTACACAAGGTAACACTTTCAATGGTTTGTGATACTTCCCCTGACAATGTCTGGATTTTTGCTCCCTTTTTCTGTGCCTGCGGCAGTACAGGAAGCTGGTGAGGTCTTTACGTGGATTCCCGGATCTCTAAACTGGTAGATCCATTTTACAGGTGACCTCAGACTTGCCCTCTTGTGTCTCCTCAAAGCCACTTCCCTTCCAGCACATGCACACCCTCCTACGCTCTATTTCTGACAGCTCAGCATTTCACTATCCGAAATATTCCATTTTTCCTGAATATGGATGAAAATTTCAAGCTCTGGCCCCAATCCCAGAGGACTCTCACTGTTCATATTTTTCCTTCCAGTGAAATGCCTCTTTTTTGCTTACATCTCAGCGAACGCCCAATCCGTGACTAAACAGATCCAGAAATATTAGCTTGGTTCAATGTTTTAAAAAAACAATTTTCGGTGTGAAACATTGCCCGAGGCTTGTTGAGTTTAGCAATCATATTCATGACCTTTTGCTCCTTTAAAAAAAAAAACACGCTAGCTGTTTGGTTAGGTAGGATGTGTCCTGTCAGATGTTGTCCAGAAGGTTCTTTGCTGACCCAGAAAGTAAGGTCCCGTGGTCTGCGGCTGCCACGGCCTCACCGGCATAGAGTTTCTGTGCGGGAGTCCGTCTGCTCTGCTCTGCTGCTCCTTCACCAACTGATGGGAAGAGTTTGCTGACGGTTGAATTGCACCCCGAGCTTCTTGAGCACCCCTGAGTGTATCTACGTGATGGACGCGTGAGCCTGCATACCTGTGTGCATGTGGGTAGACGCTGGGGCTGGAAGGCCGATCATTCCCCTTGTTTAATGAGCAGCTGCTTCAAGAGACACGTTGGCGGGGTCTTCCTCAGCAGAGACCCAAGTAAGTACTCTGGTTTCTTTAGCTTCTTGGCTGTTCCTTTCCCACCAAATTAACGCCTGCACAGCAAGCACACGCTAGCGGCTCCCCTGACCCTTCCTTCCTCTTCTGGACGTACAAGGACTGAAGTAACAGAATTGGATTTCCTTTGTAAGAAGCTGTGCCGCCTTCTGAATGTCCTCTTTTGAAAGGTGTCTATTTAGATCCTTTGCTCATTTTTTGATTGGATTGTTTATCTTCTTTTTGTTAAGTTGTATGAGTTCCCTATAAATTTTGGAGATTAGGCCCTTATCAGATATGACGTTGGCAAATATGTTTTCCCACGCAGTGGGTTTTCTTGTTGTTTTGTTGATGGTTTCTTTTGCTGTGCAGAAGCTTTTTATTTTGATGTAGAGGACATTCAGAAAGCCAAGAGACATATGAAAACATGCTCAAAGTCACTAATCATCCGAGAGATGCAAATCAAAACAACAATGAGGTACCATCTCACACCTGTCAGAATGGCCATCATCAACAAATCAACAAACGACAAGTGCTGGAGAGGATGTGGAGAAAAAGGAACCCTCGTGTACTGCTGGTGGGAATGCAGACTGGTGCAGCCACTATGGAAGACAGTATGGAGTTTCCTCAAAAAACTGGAAATGGAACTCCCATTTGACCCTGTGATCCCACTTCTAGGAATATATCCCAAGAAACCAGAAACACCAATCAGAAAGGATATATAGCGATCCCCATGTTCATAGCAGCACAATTCACCATAGCTAAGATC